CAGGACCCGCCCCCTCGGCGTCCCCGCTGTGGCGGTTGTGGCAGGATGCTGGAGGGGCTGGGGCCGGAGGGATGTTTGGGGGGGGATGTAGCTCATTTGGCGCCAGCCTCCGCTGGCTCAGGGGCCCCCGTCTCTGCTCTGAGATGCTGCGTTGGGCTTCTTAGAGAGGGCCACGGCAGAAGGAGCTGGTGCCATCAGGACTTGCTGAACCACGGCCCCTTGGCCCAGTCCTGTCTGGGCACATCCCTCACCGTGTCCCCTTTGCTTGGACCACCAGCTCTTTCCTCAAACACATGCCAGGAATATAAAAACCTGGAGGAATCTGCTGGTAGCAAGAGCCCTTGTGCATGGGGTCTCTTGCTCCACAGCAGGGACCTCCACCCCCTGAGCCTGGGCCCCGACATCGGGGGGCCCCTCCAGCCCTGCCCTTCCCACCCTGTGGCATCCCGAGGAGCAGCCCACCAGCGCGAGCTCCATTTCTGTCGCTGAATGTTTCAAACGCACGCATGAGGCTGCAGAGCCGTGGAAATTACACCAAACCAGGCTGGAAATTGCTAGGAAATGGCAGGGGCAGGAGGCTGGGGCGCAGCAGGGGGGGAGCCCGGGATAAAGCAGGGTCTGTGGGTGGCTCTGCGGACAGCGCTGGCATTTTCCGATGGTTCAGAAGTGCCCTGTCCTGAGCCTTATGAGATGAAACAGCTCAAGCATGGCAGGAGCATCCCTCGGCCCCGGACTGCAGCACCTGCAAGCCAGGGGGTGAGGAGGACTTGCAGGTAGCCTGGGAGCTCTTGTATGGACCTGGAGGTGGAAAGGGGATGCTTTCCTCCCTTGACCCTGCTATTTTTCAGGCTTCTGCCTGAGCTCAGTCTCTTGCCGTGATTGCAGTGCTCTTTCCCCTTCTCTCCAGGCCTGCCAAGGGCTGCAGGCATGGGGCCAGCTGGGGCTGGGTCACAGGGGAGCTTCGGAAGTCTTGTCACCCTCAGCCAGCTGGGTCATGGAGCAGGGCACACATCTGAGATGGTTTTCCCCCCTTTCCTCCACTGGGAGTTCATGGAGGGTCTTGGCAGGAGAGCGACAGGCACCCCACTGCCGTGGGATGAGGGATGAGGAGGACGTCGGGATGAGACCCTGCTTTGGCCCAAATTCCAGGCACCAAAGGG